TGATGTACAGTATTCTTTCAGTTATATTGAACACTGATAAAAACATATTTTGTGTTGCATCATTGGTGTGTTTAACTGCATCTGTGTAGATGGTGATGAAATTGTGTTTCACCTACAGCAGGGTTGCCAACTTTGGGTACCTGGCTGGAGTGAGATTTTGATATCATGGGTTTAATTACACATCTGCTCACGAAATGACTGCTATCGTGTCAGTAGCGGGACCTTAGCATATAGGATATACAATATATACAAATACACAATATTGGACACAGACTATAAAGGGCACACAGTTTCATTCACTAATCAAAGTCAAACACATATTTGTTTCCACTGTTTTATTGTGTGCCTGTCGCGATAAGCAATTAATTGACTTATCGGCTCCGGAGTATTTGTGTTGGGTAATCTATGGTAAGGCTAACCCATACAGTGGTGGGGCTCAAGTCAGTATTTGCAATGTAATTACATACACGCTATATCGCCCCCTTGACAGTGAAACGCCACGCGTGAGGTGTAGATTATTTCCCTGTCTCAATCCAAATTGAACTGTATGAAATAAAAAGGCACATTTGTCTTGTAGTAAATACAAAGGGCGACCTGGAGCCAATCCTGCAATTTCCCCACAGGTGAAAGAGTTGACATGCTGAAAACCCAACCCCTGCAGGGGGGTCCGGAGGGGATTCTCCCCCAGGAGATTTTTTAAAATACTAACATAAAATACACATTCTGGTACTCTCTTGAGAAGAAAAATAAATAAATCTATTACTACACGACATATTTAAATGAAGCTGAACCTGCTGAACCTTCTCTCCTCACAAAGAGAAGAGGCTGTGTGAATTACTTTACATTGTGGATAAGGGTGGATAGCCCCCATTGTTCTGTGTGTCAAAATGGAAGACAGCCCACACACCTATCAATCAACAATCCGTGGGGTCTTATTTCATTACGTGTTGATTTCTATCAACACGTAATGTTGTATCGATGTATATAGAGATGTACTACAAAACTACAAACTCCCAAATGACTGAACCCCCTTACCTCATTGGAAATAATTAAATAGGCTATCTTAACTGGTGGTGTGTGCAGGCTTTGACTGTAATTTGTTTCTGGGTCTGTGAGGCTGCGGTTTGATTTCTGTATTTTGTGCAAAGATGAAGCAGCAGAAGGTAAAGGTGCTCTTGACCATGGTAACTGCACAGCATGTGGCTTCATCTCAATAATAATCCTATATTTCTCTGTTTGACCGCTGTAGCCACAAAAGCCATGAAAACTCAATCAAACATACATGTAACAGCGGGCAGGAGATCAACCTACTGTACAGAGATCCATACTATTTCACTTCAAATTCATTTAAATTAAACTGTAGTTTCATAATGTTGCATAATGAGTGAGGATGTCCCATTTAATGCACATTTTATAACATTTAATTTAACTGATGCTTTTTTCCAAAGGGATGTACAATAACAACATCGCTTTCAAGAAGCCAAACCATTTTAAGTACAGCTCCATTGGTTTGAAATAAGCTAAACCTAAGTAGAGAGTTTCCTTTAATTAATTATTTATTGTATTGGTGCAGTTGAAACAGGTGTGTTTTTATCCTGTGCTGAAATATCTGTATACTTTCAGCTGTCCTGACATCAATAGGGAGCTCGTCCCACTGGTTTGGAGCCATGATAGCATACAAGTGTGTTTTTGTTCAGGGGGCCCAACTCAATGATACTTTCTTCCATGTGCTGATGTCTGTGGACTTTAGACAAGAGAAAGAATGTGAGAGTATAATGAGAGGTGCTGGAGGCAGAAGAGAAAGGATGGAGCAGGTGTTGCCTTCCAAAACTAAACGAGGCTGATCAAGCTGGTGTCAGCGTCCCTACATTGGCATCATTACCTATCATAAAGTTGACCATCTGGAAAAAACTTTTGTATTTAGAAACCAAATCACTCAATGCTTTAAACTGAAAAATACAGCTATTGCATTGTTAAGTCCTTCAAAACACAAATGCATGTTCAAAAATAAATCAATACATGAAATGCGAACATGAATGAAAAACAAGAGAACTAGAAGAAAAACATCCATCCTCCAAAAGATATTAAAAATAGAACAGAATACATCTGAAGACAGATCTCAGGTCAGAATGGTGTTTGTTCCAGAGAACTGCAGAGCTTAACACAAAATCAATAAAGGCCCTGTCACACTGTCCCGAAATGTTTGTTGTGCAATAAAACAACCCGATGGACACACGATAAAGGAAATGTTCAAATTCGGCTGTGATCGTAGCAACATCGGGCCATTCGTGAGGGCATCTTAAGCCATCGTATGACCGCCGGTGGAGTTTCTCAGGCTCCGGCAGCAACTTCGTGAGCGGCAACTTCGTAAGGCATCGTGAGGGCATCTTGTCAAATCGTGTCATCTTCGTGTTATCATCGGTGCATTCACCCTCACTCTGATCGGGGCGAATGCCCGATGGCACCGATGATAACAAGATGCCCTCACGATGGCCTTACGAAGGGCACAATTGACACACGAATTCAACACGAAAATGAACCTTCGCAAGGTCCTTCGGCAATTTTTTGGCATGCCAAAGATTTTGCCACCGCTCACGAAGTTGCTGCCGGAGCCTGAGAAACTCCACCGGCGGTCATACGATGGCTTAAGATGCCCTCACGAATGGCCCGATGTTGCTACGATCACAGCCGAATTTGAACATTTCCTTTATCGTGTGTCCATCGGGTTGTTTTATTGCACAACAAAATCATGTAAATATATTATGTAAATAACCCAATTTGTGTTCTGTGAAACTAAAAAGGATATAATATATTATTTTGAAGGACAGTTGACAGGAAGTTGTTGTTGTTATGGAAACAACATTACGGAGAAAACGTAATATTTTCTACATATAACGACGGATAAAGTAAAGAACAAAGTCTGAAGATATCAGTACAGTATCATAGTACTGTAACATAATTGTTTTTGGTACTTTCATTGCAGTTGTATGTCTTAAATGTAATGTAAATGTTGCCTTCGTGTGTGGTTCGGGGCCATCTTCGTGCGAAATTCACAATTCCATATTCGTGTGTCCATCGGGTGTCAATTTCGGGACAGTGTGACAGGGCCTTAACAGCAGTCAGAATCCAGAATAATGATACCTTTGGGTTTTGCTGTGCTTTAATGGAGGATGTAGGTGCCTGGGTGAGTCATCAAAGTGTCTGACTTTGATGGTGGAGTTTGTTTTTGCCATGCCTTTTACCAACAGTAACCTTTGTGTCCATGGTTAAAAGAAACCAATGTTTGCCTGACCTTAAAGAGAACCTGCTCTAAGTCTGGATATCCTGCTTCGCTTCCAAATAGGTGTGACAAGATGTGTCCCCCACACCCTGTGTCCCTCACACCCTGTGTCCCCCACACCCTGTGTCCCCCACACCCTGTGTCCCCCACACCCTGTGTCCCCCACACCATGTGTCCCCCACACCCTGTGTCCCCCACACCCTGTGTCCCCCACACCATGTGTCCCCCACACCCTGTGTCCCCCACACCCTGTGTCCCGCACACCCTGTGTCCCCCACATCCTGTGTCCCCCACACCCTGTGTCCCCCACACCCTGTGTCCCCCACACCATGTGTCCCCCACATCCTGTGTCCCCCACACCCTGTGCGACTCTGCTATAAAGAGAAACAAAACAGGTTCCACACAAAGACAGGAAATAAACACAGGCAAGACATAGAAGAAGAAAACTGAAAACAGAACCACAAAACATGAGATCATGACAAATAGGGATGGGTATCGAGAACCAGTTCTAAATTGGTATCTTTACCTGATTGGTCAGTAACAAAAAACCACAAGCTGTTATCGATCCTGTTATTCTTTGATGGCACCCAGATGATTGTTGAGCTCAAACTGGATCCATCTTCATCTTTTTCACATGATTTTTCTAGCATTTGGACTGACTATGGGGACAATGTATTATCTTTTGAATTTACACACGACACCTGTTCCACATCTGTCCGTCCTGGGAGAGGGATCCTCCTCTGTTGCTCTCCCTGAGGTTCCTCCCATTTTTTTCCCATTAGCTGTGGGGTTTCTTTGGAATTTTTTACCTTGTCCGATGTGAGGTTCAAAGGACAGAGGGTGTCATACTCGTATTCTGTACAAACTGTAAAGCCCACTGGGCTATATATATATATACATTGACTTTTAGACAAGTTTACTGTAAAAGAGGTACAATTAAGTAGCAAATGACTCTATATAAAGCTAAACTCTCAAATGTCCCTCCAGAGGGAGTTTCTCTCCCACTCGCTCCCCCACCCTGACTGAAATGCCTCCATTGGACTACTTTGTTTACTTCTGTAACATAGTAACAACATCACTATAGAAGACTTGCACCACTATTTACGCCCCAACACATTGTACATGATAAGCTAAGGGCCGGGACATCTCTAAGCGGTTGACCAATCACAACAGAGCCGGCGAGCTAACCAATCAGAGCAGACTGAGATCTGGTTTCAGACAGAGGGTGAAAAGAGGTGCTGCAGCATGGGCAGTATGTAATGTATATATACGATGAATATTAGCATAATAGGGCCTCTGAAACTCTATTACACTTATGGAAGGCAGTTACGGTTAGTGGTGAGACCAAAAAACAACTATTCTGAAAATACAAATTCAAGTAGTGTTTCACTGTTCCTAATTTGAATGGGATTGTCGTTTAACTGTATAATAAGCATTTTCTCCTCTCAGAAGCGAAACACCATCTGAAATGCAAGCTGAATTATGACAAATTATAAATAATTTAACATTTTTATAAAGAAAATACCACTTGTGTAACATAATCACCAATCTGTGAAGCTTCCAGTAATCCCACGATTGTGTTTGTGTGTACGTGTGATTGTTTAATGAAGTGCTGTGATTTGTAATTGTTTGGGTTGCTTTGTTACTCTGCTGAGCATTTTAAAGAGCAATATGTCACATATTCTAACACCGCCAATTATTTCTGTCTTTTCCTCTCCAGGCATTTAGAGGAGGTGGTGTTTACTTGCGGCTGTGAGATTCGCTGGCTGCAGCTATGGCAACAGAGAGGGGAGGCGGGGCTGAGCAGCCAACAGTTAGAATGTGATGACGGCTTGAAGATAAAAGTGCTGCAGGTTATGAACATTAGCAGCTGTGGTAAGTGTGAAAACTAGCAAAGACATACGAAGCCTTGACCTTAATGATTGGCAATTGTAATAGCTAAAAATTGTTTTAATAGGATTATTGTGTTCTCTTTTTTTTTATAAATCTTACGACAACAATAAACAGAAAACAAAGCTAACAATGTATCAGGACGTCTACCTCTCAGCTCCAAGCCCATTTGTCCCTAATGAAACCTTACATCTCCTGAAGCTCACATATACATCCTGCATGTTCTGTCTACATTTGTGGACTTTTTTTCCATCCCATTGTCTCTCTTTGCTTTCAGACCTGCCAGAAATCAGCGTCAGCCACAGCAACCTCACCGTTAAAGAGGGGGATCGAGTAACGGCTATCTGTAACGGCTCTGGATCCCCGCTACCTGAGGTGGACTGGCCTGTCAACGGCCTGCACTCCATCAATGCACAGGAGGTAGGAAGGAACCAAACACGGCTGGACTTGTGATAGCAGCAAGTTAGCTCTCAGTAATAAATGTGTCTGTCTGTTGGTATAAATCATTGATAAGATTTGTGGCAGAAAGAAACGTAGTAGAAGTGTTGAAGTCAACATTTTTAAATTAGATTAAGCTACTTAGATGACATTGTGAGGGGTCTGACAGAGGTGTAGTTCTGACGGAGAGCACCAGAACGTCGCTCCGGCACTTCAAAAATTGCAGTACCCATAAGGAGCCGTACACATGCCGCAGTTTCTGCGTGGCTGTGTCTTTAGTTGAAAGCCCAGTGGCGATCTGTTCATCTGTCACACTGTTGTCACACAGTCAATAACTTTGTTGTTATTAGCATCTGGTTAGCTAGCTATGCTAACGAATATAAGAAGCTTTTTCTACAACCAGTGAGGTAAAGGCACGTCTTTATATGATCATTATAGTTATAAAAAAATAAGAGAATAAAGGAAACAGGTATAAAATACTATATGACGGTAAAAAAAAGTTGTTAAAAAGAACAAGAATACATTTTAAAAGGGGAGTGATTTGTAAAATATCCATAAAGAAAAAGAAAATCTGTTTATTTATAAAGCACATTTAAAAGTGATTTTTGGTCGAGCCAAAGTGCTGTACATGTAATAGAAACACATTACTACAATCACAATAAAAGACAATAAATTACAACAGATATATAAAAAACATATGGAAATGTCAGGAGTCATTCTCCGCTCTGACTAGAAGGCCAGGGAGAAGAAGTGTGTCTTTAGTGATGATTTAAAAACCCCTAGTGTCTCGGCTGACCTCACATGGAGGAGCAGAGTGTTCCAGAGCCTAGGGCCAGCTGCTGCGAAAGCTCGGTGCCCTCAGGTTTTGAGCCTGGTCTTGAGCACTATCAGCAGCAGCTGGTCAGCAGAACTTAAAGCTCTGGCTGGGGTGTAGCGCTGGAGGAGTATATATATATATATATATATATATATATATATATATATATATATATATACTATATAGGCCATTTAGGGCTTTAAAAACAAATAAAAGGATTTTAAAATCAATTCGGAACTGAATTGGAAGCCAGTCAGTGAGGCCAGAATTGGGGTGATGTGGTCACGCTCAATTCTGTTTCATATGGGTGTTGAGAGAGATGTATCCATAGATCTCTTCATGTTGCTCTCAAAGTGCACCAGATTGATGCTTTTAACTTCAACATTTAAAAAAAAATCTTCCCGGGGGTGCATGCCCCCGGACCCCCCTACAGGAGGTTAGGTCCATCCCCTACTTAAATCATGTTCATATGGATAGGAAACTAAATACATTTGCACACATCTTGTGTCCATATCTTTCTGTTTTGGTGGTCATGCCACAACCGTGCACGTGAATGCATGCGCGAGTCATGGTGAGATATCTGGATTAAGAGGTTGCTTTTTCTTTGCACAGAATAAAAGAAAGGCGAAATGAGTGGGCTGTGATTTTAGATTTTTTAAGCAGAGGTTGAGTTCAATCATTTGTACGGCCCTCGGAGGATGTTGTAAAAATTGAAATGGCCCTTGAGAGGAAAAAGGTTCCCCACCCCTAATTTATCCCCTTGATTTAAAGAGCACATATTATGCTCACTTTCAGCTTCATATTAGTATTTTATGCCTCTACTGTGAAATGTCTCCATGCTTTAATGTTCAAAAAGCTCTTTATTTTTTATCATACTGCCTGTGCTGCAGCACCTCTTTTCACCCTCTGTCTGAAACCAGAGCCCAGTCTGCTCTGATTGGTTAGCTGGCCGCCTCAGTTTTGATTGGTCAACTGGTTAGAGTTGAATTGAAAAGAAAATGAGATTGGGGAATCTTTAAATAATGGCTATAAAAGTGTTTGTACTGGGTAGATTATTTAGCTAAATAACAATATGATGAATTACAGATATCTGATTCACAATGAAAGTCAATGAAATAAAAAGCAATTTTGGCTCAAATGACGTAATGGACTAGAATGGAAGTTGTAGTATCACCGTTTGGCCACTACGAAAATGTTACTTCAACTGGCACACTTCCTCTTGGCTTGGTTTAGTCTTTAAGCCACAGCCTGCAAACAGCCTGCCACTTGTTACAAACCCAGCTGTGAGTCATCCAGCTCAGAAGACAGCATGTGAAAAAGTATATATCGTAATTGCTTCCTTCCATTGCCTTCAGAAGCTAACTGCTTTTCCACTCAGGTCAGGCAGGACGGATGATTCAGACCACAACATATTCATCTTGTTACATCCATGTATCTCAACGTGCATCTGGACACAGTTTGATTGCCTATTAATCAGGATGTGTAGAACCAGAGAACCAGTCAATATGGATGAGAAGTTGACTTTGTGTTTAGGCTGTAAGGCTCTAGAAGCAGCTTGTGTTTCTTCAGGGCTGTACCATAGAGTTTATTATCCGTCAGAAAGAACATTTGGCTGTGTCTGGAATAAAATATGAGCTTAAGCCTACCAAATGGATCAAAAATAATATGACATAAACTTAACACAAAAAGTAAGGAAATGTGTGTTTGGTAGATTATTTCTTTTTTGTAACAATGCCTTTTTCTTACCTTTCAAATGGTGCCACATTTGTGAGGAACAAGCATTTGTGGGATGAGCAGCAGAGCTGAGTATGTGGGTTGCGCCCATGAAAAATGTGACATATCTCCTCTGTCAAACAGCAGCCACTCTCCGGTGTCGTAGGGCTGCCAGGAGGCCTCAACATGTGGAGGAACATTATGTTCAGCGATGACTCCAGATTCGGCCTACGGCACATGGATTGTAGGGTCACCGTGTGGAGAAGACGCGAAAAACGCTTTGCTGATTGCTGCACCGATAGAGTAGGAGTGGAGAGGATGGGATGGCCTGCCTGCAGTCCTGACCTCAACCCCATTGAACCCCATTTTGGGATCAGCTTGGCCCTGCTGTCCGTGTCAGTGACCAACACAACCACGTTGGCTGACTTGGGACATATCCCATCCCACAGCAGAGTGTAAGCATGATGGTGACAGCATGAGGAGGAGAGGCTGTTGTGGCTGTGTTTGGTTCTTCCACACGCTACTGAGGCTGCTTGTTAAATTAATACATTTCTTAAATTGTTGCCAATATGTCTTGATTCGTCAGATTTCAATCATCCAATCCACTTTCTTTTTGGTGTCTATATACGCTGGGATCCGGAGTCATGGATGATCCTGCGGTCCTGTGTCCTGGATCGCGAGCCCTGGATCTTGAGTCGTGGCTGTGGTCCTGGATCATAGGTCCTGGATGGATATCCTCGTGGATTCATCTTCCTATTATACACACATGCATTTCCAAACATTTGGACTACCTATGTTGCAAATGTATTATCTTTTTTCAATTTACACACGGCATCTATTGCACGTCTGTCCGTCCTGGGAGAGGGATCCCTCCTCTGTTGCTCTCCCTGAGGTTTCTCCCATTTTTCCCTTTAAACTGTGGGTTTTCTCTGGAAGTTTTTCCTTGTACGATGTGAGGGTCTAAGGACAGAGGGTGTTGTATTGTCATACTGATATTCTGTACACACTGTGAAGACCACTGAGACAAATGTAACATTTGTGATATTGGGCTATATAAATAAACATTGATTGATTGATTGATTGACCAAACAACATCAAACAAGAGTCAGCAGCAAAAAAAAGCCGTTTGGCATCGGCAGAGGTGATTTGTCACATTTGACAGGGGCGCACCCCACATACTCAGCTCTGCTGCTCATCCCACAAATGCTTGTTCCTCACAAATGCACAAAAAGCATTGTTACGACAAAGAAAAAACCTACCAAACACAAATGTCCTTACTTTTTGTGTTAAGTTTATAAATGATGACTAAATGTCAGCCTACTTGTAATTCAGACGCAGAGACTTTATGCAATTCTGTCCGCTACAGTATCGTCTGCTAGAGTAGAAGAACTACGTTTTTTTTAAAAAGATACTAAAAATGCTCTAAAAGCTGAATCCAGAGTTTTTTTTCTCTCTCCATTTATTTAACTGAGTTGAGAACAGCGGTTTGGAGGCAGGGCTTAGGGAAAGTTGTGTTCCATGTGTTCTGGGGAATTGATAAGTCAATGGGAAAATACTTTTTGAACCCAGTGGCATTATTACTCTGGGCTTTCTTACAACTTGCTTGCCCCCAGGCTGCACTCCTGCCGGACATGTAAGAACTTGACTTGCTTATTCCCCCTCTCTTGTTTTATCCTGCTTTCCCTTCAGGCTAAAGTCTACGACAACAACACCATTCACTCCATCAACATCACTTTGGTCAATGTGAGCAGAGACGACAACAACTTCCTGCTAACCTGCACCGCCACCAACATAGTGGGCATGACCAACGCTTCTGTCCAGCTCACTGTGCACTGTAAGTACACACACCACACACACACACACACACACACACACACACACACACACACACACACACACACACACACACACACACACACACACACACATCCACATAGTAAACATGCTTCTATTGGCTGACTGGTATATATTTCATATAATAGTCACTCTAGGACAGTACTTATTAGTGTAAACATAACACGCGTTAGAGGCTCATCCATCATCATTACAGCACATCTGACCTTCAGGGTGTGTGCGTTTGTGTGTGTTTACACCCATGTGACCTACACAAGGAGCTGTTTGCATGAATGTGTCTCATAAATTATCTTGTCACATGGCTATTAAAAAGGCCACAGCAGCATCACACCTACAGTACATCATGAGCTGGTGAACACACAGTAACGTCTCATTAGAGCAAATGATAAGCTGCTTATTCATTCAACCTTTGAATGCCTTTTTGAAACACATTCACATTATATTATATTATATGGGACTTTCTTAAATTCTTAGTCATTGTATCTCTTAATTAAAATATAATATATACATTTTATTTTTCTCAGATGGGGCAATAATGTAGCACATATTTTATCAAGCCAGATGTCACTAGGTCTTCACATGGGAGTTCTTGACTTCAACACTAATTAAAATGCATTGAATATGTATATACAAGGGCCCTATCTGCCAATTTAACATTATTGCTTTAACTTTTTATAAAGCTTATTAATTTCCTGAAACAGTCAATTATCAAACAAACAAGAGGAAATTGTGAATTTGTTTGGGGACTATTTTCAGCGGCGGAGTTATCCACATTTATTATTCTAGTGAGTATTTGTGGCAGTATATTGTGTTCTGGATGGAGTCAGTATATGTGTGTGTTCATGGTGATGGAGCTTAATGTTAGGCGTGAGGGGATCTGCTGTTCCCTCTGCAGTAATTCATTTCTTCATTGCTTTTTTAATCAACCCAGTCTCTTCAGTCTGTGTTGATCACTGATTAAGCTCAGCTGACAAAATAGCATCAGCCAAGAGCTTTCCTGGTTACCCTGGTAACAGCATTCCCATTGACGTCAGCCAGCCAGTCACGCTCTTGTAAATTATAACCGAAGAAAAAGAACAGTGTGAGCAATAATCACAAATCAATGATGAGACTCTAAACAAAAGTCTGGGAATTAAAAAGTTGAGGCTTGAATTCCCTTGTGTGTTATGTAGCTTTTTCTGCATGTAAACGGTCTGCAGAGTCACAAACCCTCAAAGTACACCCTGTAGCGAGTAAAACTCTAACACAGAAAATACCTGTCTATGCTGCCCCAGAATGCCTCGTTGGACATTTACCTTTTTCCATTTTTTTCTTCTTGGGTATAGTGACGTATTTGGGTATAGTGACGTATTTGGGTATAGTGACGTTACGTTAAGAGCTCACACACACACACACACACACTCGATCTTTTCTCAGCTGCAGCTCCGGGGATTTCTCAGCCTGAGACGGCGGGACGCGGCGAGGCTGTGAGTTTGTGTGTGAGCACACACACAAACTCACAGCCAGGCTGCGGGTGTATGCTCGGGCTGGTTTCGGGCTGAGTTTCGCTGTGTCTCGCTGTCTCACAGATGGCCACTGGGCTCACAGGGGGGGGGGGGGGGGGGCAGGAGCTCCAACAAGCCTTTAGGACAGAGAGTGAATACACATACTATACAGAGATGCTGGATGAGAAACCAATGTGAGTTTGGAGAATTGCACAATATAAATCTATTCTAGTAGACCTCAACAATGGAATTATGATCAGTAGAAATGGCCATGACATGGAACCTTTAAGTTGCTCTGCACTGGAACTTGATTTTTACAGAGAAGCAATATGAGCTGAAATTCTGGCAAAATGAAATGGCAGGACAGATGACTCAGACCGCTACATATTCATCGTGTTCCATCCATCGCTGTGCATCTGGCTACAGTTTGATTGCCTATTAATCAGGATGTGTAGAAACATGATGCTGATATCAATCTTTTCATCTACCACAATAAACTACATTTGAATAGAAATTGTTGATCTATTCCTTAAACTTAAGTTACGTGACTGAATGAAGTATTTAAAAAACAGTTGGACACTGTTTATACAGTAGGGGAATAAACTCATGCTTCAAATGCTAAAGACAGCAGTGAGTTCATAGAGGAAGAAAAGAGAGCAACTAGATATCTTAGGAATACAACACAAGACCCTACATGTATATATTATTGTTACTGCCTGCCAGATTGCTCTTGCTAAATCTACCTTAATAACTTTTCTGTTTTACTTCATGTAGCTGTGCACAATTAGAGCATTCTAGCTAAATGCACCAATGTTTGTTGTGGTGTTGCATTTTGGGTAGTTCAGGTTTTGACAAGGAAGAAGTTGCTAAATGTTTAAAGGGTTCTGTTGTCCTACTGTCCATTTTAAGTCTAACAATGATCTCACAATGTGCAATGATAAGTCAGTGAAGTGCTATTTTACATGACTAGCTAAACCTCAACTGCTCTCCTTTGGCAAGTAGTTTTGAAACCAATGAGGTCAATATTTAAATGTAAAGAAAGAAGTTAATGTCATTCCAGTAAATATTTATGAATGACTTCTGAGCTATACTATTTAAAACATCGTTTAGCTAGCTAACTAGCGTATATTTTCTCAAAATCCTAATGGTACTTTCACATTTATTTTCATAGGCATACTGTTACAGTCTCATCATACTCCTCTTTTACATTATCATCCTCACGGATAAGCAAAGCACCGAGAGACAACAAGACAATAAGCCTTCTAAGCAGCCACGCAGATCAGCAGGAAGTTCAGTTTTAATCAACAATGCTATCATTCTCTATAGGACTGAGCTAAAGGTCCCTCCAAAGACAGGACAAGTGTAGATAGTGTAATTCTTTAAAATGTACAGGTTTGGAGGTTGTAAACTGTGAAACTTAGCTTTAACTTTCTTTGTCTCTATCATAGTAAACCGAATGTCTTGGGATGAATGACTGTTGGTTGGACAGAAACAAGCTATTTTATTATGGTATATGGGATGGTAATTTTTCTGATGTTTTGTAAAGCAAACAACGAATGAATTGATTGAGTTAAATATCAGCATATTATGAATCATTTCAATGTATATCTCCTTCTGTAACCAATCCTGCTTTTAGTACAGAATAAATCATATGCGGGAGACTAGAAAGAATATCCATAGTGGGAGATATTTATGGAATTATAGCAGTAATTGTTCTTCCCTGTGAAAGTGTTTGCATGTGCCAAAAGCACAACACAATTCACAATGTAATGAATTGGCAAGTCACTTGGTTTTCTCTATATAATAACAGTGTACACATGTTTATCACATATTGTCTCCCGGTCTGCCATCTGCTAATGACTTAATTCCTGTAGTGTGCTACATCTTCCAGCTTATTGTTTATCTAAATTCATAAAGTGGGTTACATTTTTCATTCCAGCCAAAAAAGAAGGTCAGCTGTGTACTTTCACTACAGGCTATCACATACTGGATTTAGTCATCCCTCCATGTAATGTTGTTGTTTTTTGTATTGAAACTATCAATTATTGGTACGGTACGATATACTTTATTGTCCCCGTATGGACATTTGTTCTGGACTCCGTCCTGCAGTTCCGCATACATGTACATATACAAACATAAACATGGACGCTGTCTTTAGCTATGCTTCTGTGCTAGATTAAAGATTCAAAGGCTTTAATGAATGCACTTTAGCTACAGTGTAGAAATGGCAATGAAAGTCCCGAGCTGCTCCAACAATGTAACATAGTTATATAAGACATAACACAATAAAACAAAGTAACAAATCAAATACAAATCGTGCTACATCCTCACCACCACAGTGCTGTTTTCCTGACATCCAGCACACAGAAATAGCTGCTGAAGGTGAATTCATCTATTATTTATCGGGCTTGCAGCCAATGTTGTTCAGCTGATCCATTCACCAGAGAGCAGCGATCTGTTCTGTATGGGAGTCTCTTCAGCAAAGGCAGACTCTTTCCGACTAGAAATAATGGATTATAATTATAATATGCTTCCTGGAATATGTTCCAAACTAACTGTAACCAATTTCTTAAAAACTTGACCATGTCCCAACAGTTAGCTTCAAGTATTGAACTTTACCCTTACACCAAATCCAACATTGGGACATATTTTCCACATGAAATATAAAAACATTCCCCAAGCATCTTGACATTCATGTTCTACAGTTGATGCAACCTTTCCATACGTAAAACTAAACAGTCTATATTCAATTTCAAACCAACATACATTGTTGCATTCAAATGTGCTTGCACATTATACTGACTAATGCATATAAAGCCTCTGTGAAGGAATATAAACACATTTTAATAAAGACATGCAAATTGAGTGCTAATTCATAAATGCACAAAGGAGCAAATATAAATCAGTGAATATGTATTTTACATTACCAGCATATTCTTTAACATGGCCTAGTTCCATTTATTTGTTTATACAGACAACAAATATTAATCACGTTTGTGTAAAATGCAAAAGGATTAGACATTTTTTTTAAATGAATTTAAATAGAAAAAGAAAAAAGTTTACAATAAATAATACAAAAATAAATAAGGCAACATGTATAATGGCACATTGAACAGAAATATGTAAAAAAAAAAAAAGTATTATTACTTGAATTAATTAAAATGTTGTGTCTAGTCGGTCGTGCTGAGCTTGTGATCATTCTTTGTGTGTTTGTCGCTTTAGAAGACATTTTTAATATTACACTGTCTATTAGATCTTTTATCTTAAAAAATGCTTTAAGAAAATAAATATTCTTGGTTGGTTCCATGTATAACTTTAGCATTGTGGGGTTTAATGACCACTGCAGCCTCTAGATCCTATTAGCATGGACAGTTATTAATACCCAGAGCTCCCTTTACTCTGTCAGGCATACACTTCACAAACTGTGTGTCTGTGCGCATTCTTGAAAGGATACATTTCATTTGTGATGAAACGACTAATAACAGTGAGATCGTCTTTCTCTGCTGCTGGTTTGAATTTCTCAGTCGGCTGTGGAAAGACGATCACACTGTTGCAGCAAACAGCAAATTGTGTTTGCGTTTAGAAAGCGTTTTGTCAGGCAACAGAGAGAAACATGAGAACAGCCACACACACTCCACCACTCTGAATCGATTGGGACAGATTGTGATGAGACCAGCATATTAAAAGGATAATCACGGTCTCTCCTCCCATCTCTTCTTCTCTCACGTGCTGCCACAACAGATTGGTGCAGGAATGAGTCCTAAAACCTGGAAATGACATAGCATTTTACCACTTGTACTTCCCTTGCCTCAAAGTCAATGTTTTTTAACATGTTTGTGTCTGAAACAAGGTTTGTGGTTAACGCAAGCTAAATAACTTTTCACCTTTTTTAATAACATAAATACATAATTAAATACCCCCTTTGTGAATGTTTAAAGCTACATTATGTGTCATAAAAACGGTGGTTGCTACCAAGTGACTGAATAAACTCCTAAACGTCATCACACTGAACATTAGCTGCCTTTAGCTTAGCGATGGTGATGCCCACCGATGTAATGATTTGAGTTTGACTATAGCCTAATTTTTGCTTTTTACTCCTGCGATTTGCATTTATAAGTGGAGATTATCATGCTGAACAATACGCGTTAAGTGTCATAAACGTGTGTTGGCCACAGAGCTTATTTTCTGCAGTATACCAAAATCCAACTGAGAGCCCTTGTGATGCTAACTTCTGTTAGTCTTCAATAATACTTCATCAATGCACCACTCTTTACCTCCAGTGTAATGACAGACAATATACAGTAGGCTTCACTTAAGTGACGGGATGTGTGACAATGTAATACAGTACAATTATTTAAAGGTCACCTATTAATCAAAATCCACTTTTTCATGTATGTTATACATACATATGTGTCCCCTCTGTGTAAAGAGAAAAAACACCCCCTCCCTTTTTTTCCTGATCCATTTATATAAAAGCCTTGGTATTTTAGCCAAACACTTCAAAGACATGTTTTGTATATAACTGAGAACTATAATGTATTGATGAAAACAAGTATAATAGGGCCCCTTTAATATAAGTTAAAGGGGCCCTATTATGCTCATTGTCAGGTTCATACAGTAGTTGTATTTTGTGCCTCTACTGTGACATGTTCCATGCTTTTATGTTAAACTCTCATTCTGCATGTGCTGCAGCACCTTCTCTCACCCTCTGTTTGAAAAATGTTGGAGAGAAACTCGGGATGTTAGCATTTGCAGACCATTTACATGCACAAAAACCTATATAACGCACACACGCTCACACGAACACATACACACAAACACACACATATACTCACACACACACACACACACACATACTCACACACACACATACACACACACACACACACACACACACACACACACACACACACACACCAGGGTTTCCGTTAGCCGGTAATTACCGGTTTTTAGCTGGTAAAATTTATTAAAAACCGGTAAATTCAAAACCTGCCGGTCAAAATGTCTGGTAATAATTAGGGATGCTCCGATAGATCAGGAGAGCTGGATCTGATCGATATGGACATAAACGCGAGTGAAGTGTAACCGGACGTGAGAGAGAGATCAGATCAGCTGCTGAGTCAGACCGAGACACGCAGCTCTGCATAATCACCTGAAGCCCCGCCTCTGTTTAGCGTGCTGCAGGAGCTGCATGAGAAACTGACGGGCTGTCAGGAGTGAGAGGGAGGATTCGTTTAACACCTGTTATTATTCAAAGTTGATGTAAACTTTTGAATAATGTACGTTATCTACTACAAGTAGTTAGTCTGAATGTAATAATTATGTTGTTTGTGGAATAATTTATTGAAAAATGAAGCTGCATTTTTCGATCTGTTACGATTATAAACTGAAGCAATATAAAAATGAGCCCCGTGAACTGAGTTTTAAACATCAGCATATCTGCTCATAGTCCGGTAATTAACTGCTAACGGAAACTCTGCAACACAACTCTTATTATTATTATTGAAATATGACCGGTAAGTTTCAAATTTGTCCGGTAAAATAAATTCTGCCCGGACATTTGACCGGCGAGAAAAAATCCTAACGGAAACCCTGACACACACACACACACACACACACACACACACACACACACACACACACACACACACACACACACACACACACACACACACAGGAAAGGGAAAACCCCCAAAAAACATAATAAGGCCTCTTTAAATTTGAAGTGCTCATCTGCCATGTCTTCTCTCTGCTTTCTTAGATCCTCCAACCATTTTGAAGCTTTTGGAGCCAGAACGGCGCCATGACACGTGCATCGAGTTCACGGTTCGAGGCTGGCCCCACCCCACCTTACAATGGTTCTACAAAGATAAGGTGCGCCTGATCAATTTATTGTGCAAATAAGATTTTCTAAAATATTTATTAACTCATGGTTGCTTTATTTTTTGCTTACCTGTGTGGAATACAAATTGGGTGGGGGGCGGTGCAGTCTGCCAAGGACTGACAGAAGCACTGATCTGAGATTATATTTGTCTCTCAATTAATAGATACATGTCTTTGCACAAGGCTACATAACGTGATGATTATTTGCTCCCAGGAAATATCCCACACTGAGTATGTGCGTCCTGATATGGATACGTATCAAGACTACATAGAAGGCTGCCTAACCTTTAACGTGCCAACGCACCACAACAACGGCAACTACACACTGGTGGCCACCAACGAGCTGGGTGAGGCTGTCAGCACCATCTACGGGCACTTCATGGACAAGCCGATCGTTGATAGTAAGTTGGGTCTGTCTGTGTCATATCTACTATTATTAAAGTATAAACTATAGAAACACCAGAGATAATATCAACTGAATCCCTGTAATTGAAAGAATCTAAATAAAATGTTATAAGACATCTATGTTACATGTTCTAGTACTATAAAAGGTACCAACCTTCTACTTAGACTCTTTCATATTTCACTCTGTTAGAACAAGGTGCCATGAAGCATTTCCCTCATATGTCAAAATAAAATAAAAATGTGTTCCCACATCTCTACCCCACTTCGTTTTGACCCAATTTAAGGCAGCCAGCTGGTTCCACAAACACACAACTGATAGATGGAAGTCTATCTTTGTGCAGCAGAGATGTGTCATGTGATTTGGAAACAAATGTAGCCTACACATAATGTGTAGCCTTTAAGTGGCTCTCCTCCTGTTGGGGAAGCAGACCTGGAACTACTTTTGCCAGTAGGTGATACTAAATGCAAATTCCACGAAACTGCCAAGGCTTCAGCTGGTAGTACTTTCCATTGTGATTGGTCCATCAGATCTGTCAGAAGACCACAACAGACAGAGTAGCTGGCTTCTGGCAGGACTGATTACAAAACACATGTGAATAGAGCAGGGGGAAATTCAAAAATAAATAATTAATACAATTTGTGAAAGAAACACAAGGGAGAAAACACAGGGAGAAAACTAAGGTTAAATATTGTAACCCTATGTCTATACTGGACACTGGTAATACTCTTCTCAAATCACACGCACATGTTAGCCCACTGAAATAATTGACATAAGCGTGTCCGGCAAATCTGAATATGTTGGGCCACACGGTCTATACGTTACTATGTTTTATCCTACACCCTATCCAGTGAGCTGCATAGGACAGACAGGGCCCCTGGTAGAGGGCTCTGCCTGTGCTTATAGAACTAGGGTTACAATACGTAACCTTTGTTTTAGGCTATGTACGCTCTGCAAAAACATCGACCTACCATACTGATACTGACCGGTTTAAGGTTGCTTCCCATGGAGCACAAAGAAATGTAGGAGTATCATGCCCAAAAGGGGATTCCTGGTAAAACTTAACCAGTGGGAAATTGCCGATCACTGAAGAGAAAAAGGATAACAGTCAGCAACTTCGCTGTCTTATACAGTAAACCATGTGGTCAGCATGTATCTGGGTAAGCTCGTTTTGATTGGCCAGCTACGTGTATGAAATGTATTACAGTGGGCGAATATGTGTGTTTAATTGGAAAATAATATGACCTTTTAAGTCGAGTAGAGGGCGGAGCCTGTGTGAGTCAGATCATGAAGTCGAGTGACACAGTGGAAGGGTCTAAGCAAGAAGACCTACCAAAAGACCTACATAACAATCCTGGCTTGAGTTGTCGCTTTAGAAGACTGGAACATTTTCTTAGTCTTTTGACACAAAACTTGCCTTGCAAGTTGTAATGCGAAGCTCTGTAAATGGCATGGAGAGAAAACCACTCTGGTATGGCGCTGGACTAATTCCCTAAACTTTTAGAGAAAGATTATTCCATTTACAGGGCTAACATTTTTTAATGTAGTCATTGATACTGTGATTGGTCAATATGGATTTTAAAACCTAAAACCCACACTTCAGTAACGTAGTAACTTTGGCATGGAACCACTAATACTGACAGATTGTTCAAGTCTAATAACTAGAAGGACAATAAATACCATGCCAAGCAACGGTAAACATTCTAGCCCTTAAGTGTTACATTAGCTTGCATGCTACCGTTGACAGATATTAAAAATGAGAGTCAAAAGATTAACTCAAGTTTTGGCATCAGAATAGACAACACTACTCTGTTCTCATCCAGGCTCTCTGGGACCCTCTGCCACGATAACCCTCATAATAGCCGGCAGTGTTTGATGCACCATTATTTTAAAATCTTGTATGCGTATGCGTGTGATGCAACCAAATAAAAAAGTCTGTGAAGATTTCAAAACTCCTGTAGTCTGAGCCTATGTTAACTGCAGCAACACTGCATTATTTGATGAAATAAAGCTCATATTTAGTCTTAGTGAGAATGCAGAGGAGCTACATTTAGACAAGGTGATGTTCTTGTTAACAGTGTTATTTCTGGTGTTATGCTCTTTTCTCACCTGGCACCCGTGCTCTGTTTCTTATCTAACATTTCTCTTCTCTTAATCTTTCCCCTGCACCATCAAACATGTATGTTCTATGGTGTATTACAGCCTCTTATATATCTTGTTCATTTTTCTTTCTCCTCCCATAGGTTCAGAGACAGATTATATTTATGGTAAGTGCCTTTAACAAGAATCTCATTGACATAAGACTTTATGGTTAGGACCCTCTGGTTGTCAAGAGGGAGTAAGCTCTTCCTCCACATATGTAAAAGCCCTAAACGTTCACGCTGACTCTTACAGTATATGATTAGCCTGTGTGCAGATTGCTTTGAATAGCTTTACATGTAATATAAACATTATATCACAGAACATAATGACGTGATAACATCCCCACAGACTGACAGTTCTTGTCATACATTTTAACACTAGAACCGCCAACGGGTACATTTTACCCGCAGCTGTTTTTTGATTGTATGTAACTTGTTTTCAATAACATATTAAAGTCTCCCAGTCCGTGACTTTTCCTGAAAGTGTGTTATGTATCACCCTCTGTTGTTAACAATTGTCAATATGAAGTCAGATTGAAAAAATCGCCCAAAAAATTGCCATTTATACCTATATCCGCCAGCGGGTAATATTTACCTCATAGAAAATGCAGCATAAACATGACGTGTTGCTATAGCAACGCCTTTTGTCTACTGCGGTTCCTTATAGATAGATAGATAGATATATTGATAGATGGAGAGAGAGATAGACAGATAGATAGTTATAGATAGTGTAACATCTTGGAGAATACAAGATCTTGGATGACTGAGCTCACGTTGAGGACGTAATGCATGTGTGCAGGTTACGTGACTTGAATAAAGATGGACACTCGGAATGAGAGAAGTAGTCCGCGTCATCTGTTTATGTAGACAATTAGTCCATAGAACAGAACATTACAGATATATTGATAGATAGTTATAGATAGAGAGATTTGTACCTAAACAAAAGACAAGTTTAACACCAAGCGTTTAAATCAGCACTCTTAGCGATATTTTATACTTCATGCTATCTGCACAAACTATATCATATGAAAAGCTGAGAGTCCACAGATTCTATTGGTATAGGTTTCATCCCTGTGCGATCAAAACTCACTGTTCTGTATGATAAATAAAAGAACATTGTACCTTGAAAATCAATAGCGGGTACATTTTACCCGTTGGCGGTTTTAGGTATACAGCGACCTCTGGCGGTTCTAGTGTTAAAGTGGGCTATGTTTCTCTATACCAATGAACTGGCGACTGTGTAATGATATACTATGTGAATAGATCAGAGCAAACAGGAGAGTGACAGAAACACGTTCATCAACAAATCAAACTGTGCTAAGGGGTTTCAGGCTTCAGCAATATGCAGTGTATGTGGTGAAGACAATCTTGGAAATATAAAGATTTGTTGAGTGTGTTTCAGAGAGATGCTTAGTTCTCATTTCAGAACGCCCACTTAAGTGTTGTTGAATATGACTGGATTTTCACAAGCAAGGACCGCGCCACAACAATACTGTATGTTAGTCAAAGATTTAAAGAGATATTGAATGTAAGGGGAAGGGATGAAGAAGGATGAGGGATGCTGTCTGTCAGGCTGGTCTGGAGGACAGACTGAAGTCCAACAGAGAGAGACTCAGGGTGGGGGTTCAGTCTCAGGCGTGTTTCTGCCAGATCTGAATACCAGACCCCAGACAGTAACTAGAATGGGACAAAAAGTATGCACCAGATGAAAGAAGAATAGATTAGGGGAGACAGGAAGAGAGGATGAAGGAATGTAGGGAAGGGGTTATGTGGTGACATAGGGTTCAAGGGATGTATGGGCGGAGGGTTGAAAGGTGGAAGGGATGTAGTGATGGGAATGAGGGTCGAAGGGATATAACTATGGAGGCACAAAGGAATGTAAGGATGAATGGACACAAGGTGTAGGGAGGAAGGGATGACAGGTAGGGATGGGAAGATGAAGGGATTAAGGGATGTTGTTGAGGAAGACATAGGAAGGTAAATGATAAGGAGAGATGTGCCTCGCGGGGACGTAGGGAGGAAGAGATGAGCATTAAAGGGATGTATTTATGAATGGCCGTGGTGAAATTGGAGAAAAACAAGGCCAGATTTGGTGGTTGGGGCGTGTGGTTGGGCGTGTGGTTTGGCGTGTGGTTGGGCGTGTGGTTTGGCGTGTGGTTGGGCGTGTGGTTGGGCGTGTGGTTGGGCGTGTGGTTTGGCGTGTGGTTGGGCGTGTGGTTTGGGCGTGTGGTTGGGCGTGTGGTTGGGCGTGTGGTTTGGCGTGTGGTTTGGCGTGTGGTTGGGCGTGTGGTTTGGCGTGTGGTTGGGGCGTGTGGTTGGGCGTTTGGTTGGGCGTGTGGTTTGGGCGTGTGGTTGGGCGTGTGGTTTGGCGTGTGGTTTGGCGTGTGGTTGGGTGTGTGGTTTGGCGTGTGGTTTGGCATGTGGTTTGGCGTGTCCCTGCTCCTGAAAGTCAGATGTACTTCATATGTTGTAGGATGCAAATAATGTTAGGTCTCCACAGCCTCTGCATGCATATGAGGATACAACATACATAACCCTAACCCGTAGAACTTTTTTAGATGAACATATTTTAAGTACTTTACTGTGCAGCATTGTACTGTTAAAAGTACTTGTGCAAAACTTGAGTATTTGCTTTTTTTAATCTTTTTTTTATTGAGTCAGGCACAATGAGTTTACATTTATACAGTCAATATTTTTCTTTATTTTTCCCCTTTACCCCCCTCCCGGTCCTAGCTAGTAAATTAAATAACTAACTAAATACAATAGATACATGTATAGGTAAAAGTAAAGTAATGTAGAAGATAATATTAAAAGAAAATGTATAGATAAGGGAATAAAGAATAGTAACAGTAATACTTGTACCCATATACTCACATATGTATACCCACATATACACATACACATACGTGTGTGTACATACCCACACACATGTACACATGCACATACATACACGTACCTACATACATACATGTATACAAAGAGAGAACAGATAAATAAATACAAATTAATATAACAAAAACAAACAGATAAAAAGAGACACAAGGAAGAAAAAAAAGAAAGAAAAAAAAAAGTAGAGTATTTGCTTTTTTAATGCTACACTATACTTACGTTACATTTTGTTCTTGATAACCCACAGTTAACTGGCAGCTGTGGTTGCTTTGCAGATTCGCATTTCACATTCATGCATGGTTAATCATTATAGACCAGGGGTACTCAAATACAAATCTTAAAGGTCCAAAATAAATGTTTCAATAAGACAAAGGTCCGTTTATTACGGTCATTCAAACTTTTAAACAATTGCAACAAGATTCTTAACACGAGGTTGCAAAAACAAAAATAATCTGTATGCAGCAGTTTTCATTCAGCATTCCCATTATTGCTTTATAAATGTCTTGCCCCCTTGTGTGTCCACTGAGGTTCGTCAGGCCCAACACATCTTCAACAAACTCCCCCTTTGCCTCATCATAAAAACTCACAAACACCAGCAACTGAGCATTGTCAGTGGTGTCAGTGGACTCACCCACAGCTAAGGAAATGCACTGTGCATTTTCTATTCCATCACAAAGCTGATGAATCAAATCACCAGCCTGTATTTATGTTCTTCTGGTTGCTGTGGAATCTGAGAGGGGGATTTGCTTGATTTGACCTGTTATTTCCTCTTTTTGTTTGCCTTCAACATGGTCTCCATCACTTCAGTCATGCATTCTTTTATACTGCAGTTATTATCCAGTGGAAAGTCCTTACCTACTGGCCTAGTTCAATCAAAGTGGTTACTTTTGTTTGGCTGGGCAGTGTAGTTTTACACACCGTCTTATTTGACTTTCTCAGGACTTAAAACTGTTTTTTGGGGGCAGACCCCCTCAAAGAAAAAAATATATTTACACACGTAAGGTCATCATCTTAATAGTTGTGTATGCTCATCCGTGAGCAGAGCATCAAGTTGACATGTCTATTACAGCTGAATGCGGCGATTACCATTTTATTCAGCAAAACGCCTCACAAACGTATTAAGATCAACAGCTTTAGTGTGTTTTGATTCAATGCTGAGTACAGCCAAACTGACAGTCTCTTCTCTGTCATTGTAGACCGCAAATACCTCATTCCTTCAGTGCTTGGGTCCGAATGCTTCTCGTTTTGCGCCGTCCCGTTCAAATTAAATCGCCGCCAATCATATGTCCACGCTCGCACCAGGACCGGGGGAGGGGTTACATGACGTGCATCTTGTGCTGCATTCACTTGCACTCGGACATTAGAGACTTTCTCTCATAAATGTCCGATGAGCCACAACTTTTCTTTCAAAACAAAGCTGCCAACTGGGGTGGCAGCTGGGGTGGTAAGGCCTATTTTTAGGGTGTCAGTTGCCACCCCGGTAAGTGAAACTAGGCTACTAGCTACAGTACAGATGGAACTAGATGAGCTGTTAACTCTCGCTCTGAATTTTTTTTTTTAAACTCTCGCTCTGACTTAGACAGGTTGAAAGAGACACACACATTTTTCCCACCCGCATTCCGCGAAGACCCGCCCTACTGTGCCTCTATTTCGCAGATTGTTTGGGGAGAAAAAACGCTGACGGGATGCTGAATGTGATTGGACCAATGCGTTGACAGACACACACAGACAGTGGAACAGGACATGCAGAGCGCTGTTTGCAGTCTATGGACATAGCGGATCATTTTGACTCGTTGCGTTGTGGCGATGTCTCGCAGATAACACAGATAATACATATGAAAAGTATAATTTGCTCAGAGTCCAGAGACAGTTGTGGTTCGGTCCGGATCCGGACCGGAGTCCGGACTTTGAGGATGCCTGTTATAGACTACCCAACTATAGGTCAAATTATAACACTAATTCATACTTCTTAAAAAATAATGTGTAATCACAACAATACAACAATGTCCTACATGTATTCATTAGCCACTTTCAGTAGCCACTTTCTTACAAAGATCAGATTTATTGCAGGACTTCTGACCTAGACTGGGGTTATAGACAATATTGTCTCTGTCCTCTGTCCAATAACTGGCCTATAAAAACATCATGGCACGGCCTCTTTGTCTGCAGCTTTTTGTTCGCTGTTGGTTTGTGTAGCTCATTATTTTATTGTTGTATGTGTGATGACTTCATGCCGTTTCCCTGCACAAGCAGCAGGACAGTAAAGTCTGTGTGTTCTTGTGTTTTTTCCCGCTAGTTACCCCGACTAATGAAACTCACAAACCTGACGAAGATACTTTCAGGGTAAGTGTGATATTCAACATGTTTGGCTGAGGCTTCATCGACTGGCTTGCAGGTAGTGAAACAAAGCCCATATTGAACTGAATGTAATTTTTCTGACCAATAGTGTCATTTTAATTGCTAATGTTTCATGTAAATGACCTTCATGCTATTTAGCCAACATCAAAGATTGTTCTTTTCTTCTTGGAAAATACTTGGTTATAATAATGCAGCTGGTGTTGTTGATATCCTGTCAGTGTTGTCTTTAATCAGTCAAAGCAAAGTCACATTGCAGTCCGTTTTAATATTATAGGGTCACAGTCACTGCTTGAAAAAAAAGCTTTTATTGTGTATCCTCTACGGCGCATCATTTAATTAATACCGAGTGCAGACGTTTCTTCCATAGTATGTCAATCCTTGTTAAGCTATAAATTGTTCTCAATTCAATCAAAATCAATAAGTAGCAGTTGTCATTTTGGCCAGCAAAATTAAAGGTTACAAACAAAACCTCCTTAAAGCATTTGAAAATTAAACTCATATTTAAAAGAAATACATATAAAATGTAAACAGTAGATACATTATGATACATTTTCAAAAGCAGCAACCGTCTGTCTGTGTCTTACCTCACAATGACCATTATATCAAACTACCAGTGTGCAAAGAAAGAGAAAAATAGATTTAAGAAGTTACAGTGTAAAGAGCCGACTGTGCTTTTTAATCCTTCCCCTCATTCACGTGGCCATTAGTTCTATCTGCTGAAAGCCTCTGGTGGCTGGTAATCCTGAGAGTTGGTTAGAAATGTAATTGAGTTAATCTTTTTCCTGTAATTGACTGTAAAAAGACAACTGTTGAGACTGTGGCTTTGAGGGAACGTAGTGAGAAAGTCTAGGTGCATCTTTTCTCTACATATTTTAGTGTTTGAATCTGGGTTGAAAAATGGAATATATGTATGGGAGCGTCCTTCTCAGCCTTGTCTCACATACTCAAATGTACCACAGTCTTTTAACCACATGAAATGGTGGTGGCACCTAGTGTACGGTGGCCGACAGGTGCAAACTCGCTACAACAGTTAAAAACGTTTCCATTAGGAGACACGTGCTGCAAAACAAACATCTTCACCAACTTGACCAAACATGCGCAGAGTTTACTAAAGACGCTGGGTGAAGGAAACGCTGTGAATACAAAATGCTGCAAGAAGCTCAAAACACAACAGAACCAGGGGACACTTAAAGGTGACGCACACGGCTGAGACCAGAGCGGTGATGTGGGTTGAACACAAATAGTATATATTACACATGTTTTTGATGTATATATTGTTGGGATATGGCTTGAGCAATGAACTGCAAATAAAACATATTGTTAAACACATTTATATGGGGGAGAGATAACATGTACATTGGGAGGGCCATGCACTACCTGGCCCTCCAACAGCGCCTGGGTGGTACATTATCTGTTAAAATGACGTTATGGCAATTATGCCAGGTGCAATAAAAACTGTACTTCTGGTTCTAAGCCTGAACAAGTGGCTTTTGTCATCTGTCACTGTGACAGGAAGTGGACTTTCAAACTGAAATATGAGACATTCTCTTTGTTTCAATCAGAAAGAGAGGAACAGCAAAAAACCTGGATGTATTTGAACAACTTTCTTGGGGAATATGTGAGCGTTTATAAGAAAAGAGATTCAACCTCTCGGGACTAAATTGTTAAATTTGTCAATTTGGGCATTTTGGGAAATTGAGGCCTCACCATAGGGAACGAGACCTGCTGCGGTCCCTGCTGTGCATAAATTGTCTTTTGTCTCTTCCTGTGGATCTGCGATGATTGTCCTAACACTGTTCCCCTCCCCCTTCTGTAGGTGTCCGTAGCAGTGGGCCTGGCAGCGTTTGCCTGCGTGGTTCTGGTTCTCCTCTTTCTCTTCATCAACCAATATGGACGCCGCTCCAAGTTTGGCCTGAAAGGTAAGAAGACAATCTGTTTCTCTCAATCCTTTTGTGAATTCAGTCTCCAGTCAACAGGCTGTTTCTGAGTTGTGCTTCTCTAATAAACAGTTTTCATTCATCTTCCCTTCTACTTTGCTGGGCTTCTGTTCTTAGTTTGACGTCATTAAGCTACTGAATGTATTTACTAATGGAAGCTTCCTACTCAACAAAGAACAGCTCACAGCTTTATTTGTAGGGATGTTACTGCGTGAATGAAAAGTACTGAGTAGGACATGATAAATATACATGTGCAAATAAATGTACATGCTAGTTGCATTCTTTATTGAGGGTTTTCATGTAGGCCTATTAGTGACTGACCTCTGAATACTGTCTAAAGTGGAAGTAGATTATAGGAGAAATATTATTCATCTGAACACATGCTACAACTAGACTTAAACTCTTTGATCTCTTTGTTTAATAATGTCATGTGTCTGTTGGTATCTTTGACATGTTCACTTGGACAGGACACACACACACACTCCATGTCTTAAGGGCACACACACAGAAACACCATATCAACCATCTGTTGATTACATCCATCTGTTCATTTAGTGCCGCCTTAGAGCCAACCCATTAATGCCTGTAGGGTGAGTGTGCACTTCCAGACACACACACACACACACACACACACACACACACACACACACACACACACACACACACGGAGACTGAGACACTCAAAATGGATGCTTTTTGATTAAGACGGAGCCAAGCAAAAAACTGATGAGTCCATTAAGTCTCCATAAACCCTCCTCTTCATACACTCTGTTCCTCTGTTTGAGGAGGAAATTACATCTGCTTTTTCTCCTCAAAAGGAATATTGTCGTCTTTATCACACGGTAATCTTCTTTTATATCCAATAGTCTTCTAATGTCCAGGAGATGTCCATCTGTCTGTCTGCCAGCGTCTGTCTCGCTCTTCTTTCTGTATTTTATGAATCGTCACGATAGCAGCACAACAACTTTGGAATAAGCTAAACCTGTTCTGCATTAACAAAAATACAGTGCAATATATTCATTTAACTTCTTTGGATTTCAATGGATTTCAATGGACTGTGTTTTGGCTTATATGAATTGATATTCTGTCTATTTTTTATATTTTGATTTGAAAGTTAGGGTTTGGGTTAAGGATTAAGGGTAAGAGTCAGTATGCCCAATGCTTTCAATGGACACATTTTTTTTATCATGATTAATCGCAAGTTTAAAATACTAAGATTTACCTTACACTTGTGGTTTTGTAATAAACAAATGCATGACAAACTGATAAGAGAAACAAACAGGGTTTTATATTATAACTGTATTATTACATGATTTCAGAATTATTGTCAGGAAGTCCAACAATTTTCAGAACTTAGCTAAGGCATCTACAAAGCCGCTGTCACAGAGAACCGCTGTATTCACCGTCCGTATAATGTGCACTACACAGGACATACAGTATGCTTGTAGTATACTTGCTTCCGCTATCATACTGCGAGCACCATCCGTCCCTACAGTGGGACCCAGTTTGCTATCTCCCACTCCTGTGCAACTTCAAGAAACTGGTTTGAAAAATATCTTTCCTCCCTTTACACCACACGTAAAGCGAAAGTGCAGTTGTGCCTTTACACCGAGATAGTGATGGTTCTTACTGATGTGAAGTGGTCTCCAGTGAATGCCAATTCCTCTGCTTTCTTTGCCTTTTCACTGTCATGCAATTCATGGTGAACATCTCATAAACGCTGGCATATAGGAGATCAAATGTGGTAATGTGATTCATTTGTGTACATTTTCTTTAATGCATTAGGGTTTCCAGATTTATCCCGAGCGTTAACACATTAATGTTGACAGCCCTGGGTTATACATGTTTTCATATTAGCCTACATGTCTGATCGGTATCTGGAGTTTTTGTCACATGTGAAATGTCTAAAACCCATGCTATTTTACTACACATGGAAGTGCTGTGTTCACATGGGATGTATGTATTGATACTGAGACATCCAGCACTGTTCCCATCTGTTTGCCTGCATTGTTGGACTCTGTGCCATTTCAGATTATGGAAAACTCAAATCACAGACAATCTCCTGCATTACGTTCAGCTTGTTGCCTTGACAACTTTAAGCTTCTGCTCTCAGAGGTCTGGCCAGCCCAGTCAAAGGCTCGGAGGTTTTGAACCATCTTTATTATATTTCATTCATGGTTGTGTGCTCATTGCTCTGCCATCCATTACAACTTGTATTGAACATTGAGTGTATTTTTGCAAAAATAAATGTCTATATAGAGGAGACAATATTTATCTCAGATACCACGTTAGCAGTTTAATGTTGTAGTGGTCCATCATAGATTGTGAGAAATGATGTGAAAATAGTCATTGGTAAATAATAAGGTATTCAATAAATGATACTGATCAGCAAGAGAGAGAGATGGCCCCTTTTATCGGAGCTGATGTTTCAGAATCTTGAACATTTACAGATTTAAAATGTCCAAATAATTTGTAGATTGTAAGGCAAGGCAAGGCAAGTTTATTTATATAGCACTTTTCAACACAAGGCAATTCAAAGTGCTTTACAAAAAATGAAAGAGATTAAGAAAATGGCATTTAAAATCAGTCAATTAAACATTAAAAGAAAAAAAGTACATGGATAAAAGTTACAGTGCAGTCTAAGATATGAATAGTTCAATTAAAAGCAGCGACAAAAAGAAAAGTCTTCAGCCTGGATTTAAAAGTAGTCAGAGTTGTAGCGGACCTGCAGGTTTCTGGGAGTTTGTTCCAGATATTTGGAGCATAATAACTGAACGCTGCTTTACCATGTTTAGTTCTGACTCTGGGGACAGAAAGCTGACCAGTCCCTGAAGACCTGAGAGATCTGGATGGTTCATAATTTAGCAGGAGGTCAGAAATGTATTTTGGGCCTAAACCATTCAGTGCTTTATAAACCAGCAGCAGTATTTTTGAAATCTATTCTTTGACACACAGGAAGCCAGTGTAAAGACTTCAGAACTGGAGTGATGTGATCCACTTTCTTAGTGTTAGTGAGGACTCGAGCAGCAGCGTTCTGAATCAGCTGCAGCTTTCTAATAGATTTTTTAGTGAGACCTGTGAAGACACCATTGCAGTAGTCGAGTCTACTGAAGATAAAAGCATGGACAAGTTTTTCCAAATCCTGCTGTGACATTAGTCTTTTAATCCTAGATATGTTCTTTAGGTGATAGTAGGCTGATTTAGTAACTGTTTTAATGTGACTGTTGAAACTCAGGTCAGAGTCCATGACTACACCTAGATTTCTGGCTTTATCTGTTGTTTTGAACATTGCACACTGAAGCTCAGTGCTAACTTTTATACGTTCTGACTTGGCTCCAAAAACCATTACCTCAGTTTTATCTTTGTTTAATTGGAGAAAGTTCTGACACATCCAGTCATTGATTTGTTCAATGCACTTACTCAGTGTTTGAATTGGAGCATAGTCTCCTGGTGAAATTGTTACGTAAATTTGTGTGTCATCTGCATAGCTATAGTCTAGGGGATTGCAGAAAAATCGTGCAAATGATGATACAAGCATCACATTTGGCACACTTGTTCTCCAAGTGGTACTAATCAAATCTGCGTGATTGGCCAATTGAAAATCCAAGATGGCGGCCATTTTCCAAGATGGCCGCCAGATTAGCCGCCCAAAAACCGTAATAATTCGGCACAGAAAGGGTTAATCAAATTTTAAAGGTCATAAATGGATGCGATAATTTAAGACCTTTAATTTGATACCTAATTTATGGGTCTACGACCACAGGAAATACTTTAACCCATTGGGAACCATTGTCGACTTTTGTCACCATGAGTACTATTTGCACTTTGGGTCTCAAAGGGTTTTAATAAAGCACACTGACACATTTTTCAAGATGGCCACCAGATTGCCTGTTTTTTATTACGTAAGCTTTACCCCGGCTAGCAAATGTTCAAAGTTATTTATACCATGCCACTGGTCCTCCAGCTGCTACTGTTCACATATGCAGCTGCAGAGTGATGTGCAGGGGAGCTCTGACTGAAAGCATTTGCATCTTCCTGTGCAACCTTTCTTACAGGAACACTTCGTCAGTTCCCGACAGCTCGCTGCAATAGGGGGTAGTGTTGTCCAACATATCTGCCATGTCTCTCCTTTCTGTGTCCATCCCCATTCAACGGGACTGCTCGTATCTGGATTGGAGATGGTTGCCTGGCCCCAGATGATCCCAGCCTGATAAGCCGCACGCTTTGCATGTTCTCTGAGCGCTGCCTGTGTTGGTGGAATTGAGTTGTACGGCCTCTGCTTGCGGGCAAAGAGATCTAGTCTTGCTTCATCCACACCAGTGGTTGCGCTTGATCTGTCGTACATGAGGACAACGAATCTCTCCAGCTTCTGCAGGTCAAGATCACAAATCAATGTTGGATGCTGGCTGAGATTAGTGAATGTTTCAGAAACATCATCGAATACGTTCCAAGTCTGCCATGCAGATTTCTTCCCTTTCCCACGGAAGGCAGACACGACATCACATCCAGTGAACGCATGAAAGTATGGGATCCCTCTAGCTTTCTCAAGCCCTATTGCAGAAACTACCTCATGGACTGGAATCCATCGCATCTTGGCTCCTTGGCCAAAGGCAATCCACATTTTCTCAAGACTTAGTTCCTGTAAGGATGGCAGTACAGATATTGCTATGACTAGCACGTCCGTGTCATTAGCCTTAATGATAATAGACTTGCTCCCATCAGTCGTTGCATCCCTGGCGTGCACAAATATTCGACTGTCAGCTTCTTCATGAGAACATGGGGACACAGCATCCAGCAACTTCCCTGTGTTGCTAATGGCTTCTTCTCCTTTTGTGACAATTACTGTGCTTGTCGTCTCTGCTTCACACATCTTTTCCGCAAGGAAGTGAAACAGCTCAGTCTTGTTGCTGGCGTCACGAAGGAAGCTTTGCCAGTTACCTGGTGTCTTACTCGTCCCTGTCACTCTTCTTCTGATTCCTTGC